TAACTCTTAATAAACTCCATTTACACCCACTTGTCCTGTCATGGATTCTTCCCAGTGGGACAAAGAATTTAGAAGTCACAGATTCCAATATACCGCTAACAATTTGAGCTCACAAGCTAAGACCCTGTCTCAACCTACAACAACATTCATAAAAAGAAACTAAATGCATTAAGGTGACATCATTCTGTAAGTTTGCTACAGCAATTGGGTTTGATTTTAATGGGTAGTGTCCTTTAAAATCAAAGTTCTCTTCATTCAGAACCATGCTGGATTCATGGATGACTTCAAATGTATTACTAATATTCCAGTAGGCATAATTTTTATGCAGTTTTTGAATAACTGTGGTTAAAGTACAACTGAAAATGCATTGTTTCTCATTGTCGGCATTTTCCTACTGGCCTCACTTAGCAGGTTCTTAATGTTTGTATGCATATTCTTTATTCCAGAACAAGTAACATTTCTTACATGAATTTTTATATTTTTTATTTTCTTATATATATTTTCTTCAGGATTTTTGTACACATTTTTTTAGAAAGAATCTTAAGAGTTACCAAGCAACATGTAGATAAACAAATTAGCCTTTTCATTTATTTACTCAGAAGATAACTGTGAATATCCCACTGTAATCACAGATTAGGTCTAGTTAATATGCTATGGTTTTCATTTCATGGTAAAAGTCATTATTACACAAAGGTATTTTTGCTCATTTAAATTTTACTTTTCATGCCTATATTGTTATAACTTTTATTCTGACTGCAGTTTGGGCTTCACTCATTATACCAAAAAATAAATCATACTGGTGTAAGTGCCCTCTTGACACAGACCTAAGGTCCATAACTGTTGTAAAGTATGATGTAATGAATTTTGCTAATAAATATGTCCGAAAAAAACCAAAAGGAATTTTAACCTTTTAAAGCATTGTTCAACATGTAAATTAAGAATTTTGTTGCTTTTTTCAGTTTTCTGAATCTCAGAGTTGTGTTACTTTGGAACAAACCATTTAGTTTTCAAATGCTTTGTGTTTCCTCTGAGATCTCAGAAAAAGGAAGTCACAAGATTGACATTAGAAAAGCAAGTTATTAGCCAAGCACCAGTTGACTCATGCCCGTAATCCTAGCTACTCAGGAGGCAGACATCAGAAGGATCACAGCCAGCCTAGGCAAATAGTTTGTGAGACTCTATCTTAAAAAAAACTCATCACATAAAAGGGCTGATAGAGTGACTCCAGATGTAGGCCCTGAGTTCAAATCCAAACACCTTAAAAAAAGAAAAAGGAAAAGGAAGTTCTTTGAAAGATACACAGTCTGCTAACTCCTGAGGGCAATGTGATTCAGGATTGAGATACAGGCTATTCTGAGCGAGGTGAATTCACACTGAGAGCAAGACCCTTATTGCTGGAAGTCATGTGGCTCTTGACCCAAAACACTCCCTGTACAGAGGTCTAGTAAGAGACATCACCTCCTTTGTTTGAAACCCCCTTTGCTCTCTGCTTTGGGAGGTGCCTGCTAGCTCAGCACTCATAGCATTCTTTTTTCCTTCGCATCCCCACTGTTTATTCCCATTGGCAAAGCGGGTGTGGTCATAATTGCCTTCAAAAACAGAAATAATGAGGGACAAGCACTCTAGTAAGAAATACAGCAAAAACAAAACCAATGGAGGCATATCAAACCTAGAACTCTGTTCACCTCTTCAGGACAGATAGCATCCCTAAAAGAAGACAGCCATCAGTTCTACCCTGGTGAGCCCACATTGTCAATACAGAGAGTAGATTTTTTTTTAACCACACATAATACTCTTTTATCTACAGGATGCAATCCTCTTTATTTTTAATAACAAAACTAAACAGTAAAAAAAGCCTCAGAAGAGACATCAGGCCATTAAAGTCAGATGATTCATGGGGAGTAGTTAACTGAATAAACCCACAGTTAAATGAGAATAGTAGGACTGGATTTCCAGCGTACAAAGCAGAATTAATCACTCTTATTCTGTCTGAATAATACTGCTTACTTCTGGCAAAAATTTTAACCTGAATTTTGTTTTATTTTGTATTTGTGGTTCTTGTCCTATTAAATAGATATCACTCTACCTTGTTTTTCTGAAGAGAAACCAATGGCTTCTACTCTTCCAGGTGAACAGTCTCATTCATGCCAAACTTAGTAAAAGGGTCATCGTTTTTTAAACGCTGTCCAAGGAAGATGTTTTTAGGCTCAAGCCTCAGTTAGCTAATGTTGTCTACATAGACTGAGGGGGCACCTCTTTATCCAAAACCTCCCTACTGCAAAATAAATATTTCAAATCAAGGCTCATTCTCCGCGAGGGAAAAAAAAAAAAAAAAACAGTGTGTAACTTCTCAATGCAATCTCTTTTGTTTAAAAAGAAACTATTTTATATCAAAATTACAAAGAAAAAAAATACCACTTCCTTAAAAACACCTACAATTGCATTAGTAAATTATTTCTTTATAATTAACTGGATTATAATTTCTTTTAATTAAATTTCTTTCGGAAAGCTTGGGATGACATGTTTTTCTCCAAATATTGCAATAAAAATGTCCGTTCATATAATCTTGCAATTACTTAGTATTTTTTTCTGTAACAGGTACTTAAAAGTTGTTTTTCCTATAGGATGACTCCTTACTTGGGCCCATGAATTAAATAAAGGCAGAATAAAGGTTTGGCATCCCAGTTTTCATTTGTATCTGTGTCCCTAGCATGAGCCATTCTCTCCTGTAGTCTCTCTCAGTCACCTTGGAATCCAAAGAGGACAGGACTGATAAGTAAACATCCAATGGGGTGAAGATCCACTTTGCTACCCAGTCAGGTAGCAAAGCCTCTAACTATCCAATCCAGAGACAATGAGCTACTTGATCACCTATAACTATTACCTATGAGCACAGGAACACACCTGGGACTGCTTAATAATTAAGCATACTTTTACCCTTGCCCCAATCCTCTTTCCTCTATTTTAATTTTTTTGGGGGACGGGGGCAGTACTGGGGCATGAACTCAGGGCTTTGTGCTTGTGAGGCAGGTGCTCTATGGCTTCAACCACACCTCCAGCTCTTTCTCCTCTATTAAAATCTAAAGCAAATGTTTGAGCTAGGAAGATGGTTGAAATGCTGTCTTGCTTATTTCCACTGTATGCCTATGTTGCATCAATTAAATCTTTCTCTGTTTCTTTACTTGGCATTTTGGGGCAAGTGGCTGGACCTGATAGCCAGACCTGACATGTGAAACTTGGGAGCTTGGGCCTGGAACCTGAAACTCCTGAAACAACTAAAAATGTGAATTTTTACTATTCAAAACTTTCAAGTATGCTCAACATCACCAGTCATGAGGGAAATACAAGTCAAAATGAGATATCACTTCACACTTGTAAAGATGGCTGTTACCAAAAAGTCAAAAGTATACGGATATAGAGAAAAAGGAATTTTAGAACACTGCTGGTGGGAATGTAAATGAGTACAGCCACTATATCACATAGCATGGAAGTTCCTCAAAACGTAAAAACAGAACTACTATATGATCCAGCAACTCCTCTTCAGGATGTGTATCCAAAGGAAATAAAATTGCTGTATGGAAGGCATATTTGTACTCTCTTGTTCATTAAAGCATCCTTCATGACAACCAAGATACAGAAAGAACCTAAGTATCCATCAACACATAAATGAATAAAGAAAATGTGGTGTACACACAGGAATATCATTTAGCCTTAAAAAAGGAGGAAAATTCTGTCATCTGTGATAAATTGAGTGAACCAAAAGGATATTATAGTGGGTGAAATAAACCAGACACAGGAGGGCAAATACTGTGTGATCTCACTTATATATGGCATCTTAATAGGAAGATCAAATTCTCGTACAGAGAAAATGGTGGGTACCAGAGGCTGATAAGTGGGGGAAGGGGGGATATATTGAGCAAGGGGTAGAAACTCCAGTTATAAGATCGGATGCACAGCACAGTGAGCAATAGATAATTACTAAAGCATTGCATACTTGAATTTTGCTAAAAGAGTAGATCTCAAGTGTTAGTCATCATATACACATCATTCCTGTAAGCTGATGAATTTAGTAATTATCTTGATTGTGATAATCATCTCACAATATATACATGTATCAAAATATCACATTGCATCCTTAAATATATAGTTTTTGTCAATCATACCTCAATAAAGTACTAGGCTGTAAAATGACAAAGAAAACACTGGGAAAGAAGGAAGGGAGGAAGAAGGGAAGAATTAATTTACCAGATAAATTCTTATTCTTCGTAGGAGGGAAAGACTTCTCTGACAGTGATGCAATAACTTTGTAAATAACAATTCTTTCTCCTCCCTCCTTTTTGTGCTGGGGATGGAATTCAGGGCCCCACACATAGAGCTATGAATGTGCTCTATGGAGCTACACACCCAGCCTCTGTGAGCAGTTGTTTCTACTGAGTGGTAAACAGTTCTGCCATCATGAACTGTAGATGGCTGCTCTGCAGAGTGAACTAGTCAATTCTAAAAACATATAAACCTAAAATAATTCCTTAACATTTATAAAGAGAGGTGCCCAAACATGAAAAAATAATCTAGATTGTGAAACAATACTACAGTATATATTTCGCTCATCAAATAAGTCAAATCAGGCATAGCAGAAAGTTTTCATTTGCCTTTCAGATCCTTGACTTCTTGCCTATCAAAGAACAGAGCCTAGAAAGCCTAATTGCCAGCTGGTTCATCCCCTGCCAAGTATGTGTGTCTCTAGCATTAAACTCTGAAGTCATGATTCTTCAGAAAATCCACTGCAAATAGTCACAACTACTCATTAGACATCCTTGATCAGGGACCAGAACGAAACTCTTCTGCATTTAGATTCAATGAACTCAGACTTAGAGTCTGGGACCAAATAGCTTGCAAGGGTAATTTACCTTTGAGCATCACTGCAATCAGAGAAAAATCTCTTGGCACGAGAGATAGGATGTTACACCAAGGACACATGCACACAGACACATCTGAGTTACCTGTTCTTGCTTCTCCAGCCATTTGTCCACCATTGGGTGGCTGGCACTCAGAGATGAGCGAGCACTGTCTCTCTGAAACTGGTGAGGCCAGTTACTGGTATCCCGTGGGAGGCTTCTATAGTTTTCATCTTTCTATTCAAAAAGAAAGGAAAAGGTATCTTGTAAAAAACAGACCTTGCAAATTAATGATACAACTGAATTTTCCTAAAGAAGCAGAAAAATTATTCTACATATTTAAAATATTTTTCCAAGTCTATAAAAAATAGCTAAGTGAGGATATTCTACCCAGAGAAGACTTCTGAAATGCAGTCAGGTGCCAAGAACAGGGAAGTCTAATAACTACAGCAAGAAAGAGGGCCACACACATATGTGGACAATAGACAAAAAACACTTGCTTATTTCACACTGCAGTCTAAGTCAATCTCCTGAGCCAAGTGTGTACACACAAAAAAATAAAAAATATTCCTAGATATCAAGGAAAAATAACAAGACTTTGATTATCTCTCTAGCATGGCATTTTTCCTTTACAAGAAAAATGCCTATCACAATACTTGATACATAATAGAAAAGTAATTATTCAGGTTGGATGAAGTGGTACATGCCTGTAATCCCAGCTACTCAGGAGATGGAGACAGAAGGATCCTGATTTGAGGCCAGCCTGTGCAAAGTTAGCCAGACCTTATCTGAAAAATAAAAGGTGGCAAAACTCAAGGAGTAGACCACTTACCTACCAAGTGCAAAACTTTGAGTTCAAAACCTGGTACCCAGCTAACTGCAAACAAAAGCAAATATAACAAAAAAGTTTACCCTGACATAGCTATGACAAGTGATGTCTTTACATAAATATTAATTAACTGAGTTTTTTAATACTCGCCAGAACTACAAAATGCTACAGGATGTTTCTTTTAAATCATAAATTATTACTTGCTTTGACCTTTTTTGTGGTGTTCTGATGTTTGAACTCAGGGCTTCATGCTTACCAGGCAGGTGCTCTGCCATTTGAGCTACTCCACTAGCCCTTTATTGTGTTGGGTATTCTTGACGTAGGTTCTCACTTTTTGCCTGGGCTGGCCTCAAACTATAATCCTCCTGATCAGGTATCACAATACCTGACTTCAAACTATATTACAAAGCAATAACAATAAAAACAGCATGGTACTGGCACAAAAACAGACATGAAGACCAGTGGAACAGAATAGAGGATCCAGATATGAAGCCACACAACTATGAGCAACTTATCTTTGACAAAGGAGCTAAAAATATACGATGGAGAAATAGCAGCCTCTTCAACAAAAACTGCTGGGAAAACTGGTTAGCAGTCTGCAAAAAACTGAAACTAGATCCATGTATATCACCCTATACCAAGATTAACTCAAAATGGATCAAGGATCTTAATATCAGACCCCAAACTCTTAAGTTGATACAAGAAAGAGTAGGAAATACTCTGGAGTTAGTAGGTATAGGTAAGAACTTTCTCAATGAAACCCCAGCAGCACAGCAACTAAGAGATAGCATAGATAAATGGGACCTCATAAAACTAAAAAGCTTCTGTTCATCAAAAGAAATGGTCTCTAAACTGAAGAGAACACCCACAGAGTGGGAGAAAATATTTGCCAATATACATCAGACAAAGGACTGATAACCAGAATATACAGGGAACTTAAAAAACTAAATTCTCCCAAAACTAATGAACCAATAAAGAAATGGGCAAGTGAACTAAACAGAACTTTCTCAAAAGAAGAAATTCAAATGGCCAAAAACACATGAAAAAATGCTCACCATCTCTAGCAATAAAGGAAATGCAAATTAAAACCACACTAAGATTCCACCTCACCCCTGTTAGAATAGCCATCATCAGCAACACCACCAACAACAGGTGTTGGCGAGGATGCGGGGAAAAAGGAACCCTCTTACACTGTTGGTGGGAATGTAGACTAGTACAACCACTCTGGAAAAAAATTTGGAGGCTACTTAAAAAGCTGGACATCGATCTACCATTTGATCCAGCAATACCACTCTTGGGGATATACCCAAAAGACTGTTACTCCAGAGGCACCTGCACATCCATGTTTATTGCGGCACTATTCACAATAGCCAAGTTATGGAAACAGCCAAGATGCCCCAGCACTGACGAATGGATTAAGAAAATGTGGTATCTATACACAATGGAATTTTATGCAGCCATGAAGAAGAACGAAATGTTATCATTCGCTGGTAAATGGATGGAATTGGAGAACATCATTCTGAGTGAGGTTAGCCTGGCCAAAAGACCAAAAATCGTATGTTCTCCCTCATATGTGGACATTAGATCAAGGGCAAACACAACAAGGGGATTGGACTATGAGCACATGATAAAAGCGAGAGCACACAAGGGAGGGGTGAGGATAGGTAAGACACCTAAAAAACTAGCTAGCATTTGTTGCCCTTAACGCAGAGAAACTAAAGCAGATACCTTAAAGCAACTGAGGCCAATAGGAAAAGGGGACCAGGAACTAGAGAAAAGGTTAGATCAAAAAGAATTAACCTAGAAGGTAACACCCACACACAGGAAATCAATGTGAGTCAATGCCCTGTATAGCTATCCTTATCTCAACCAGCAAAACCCCTTGTTCCTTCCTATTATTGCTTATACTCTCTCTACAACAAAATTAGAGATAAGGGCAAAATAGTTTCTGCTGGGTATTGAGGGGGGAGGGGAGGGGTGGAGTGGGTGGTAAGGGAGGGGGTGGGGGCAGGGGGGAGAAATGAACCAAGCCTTGTATGCACATATGAATAATAAAAGAAAAATGAAAAAAAAAAAATCCTCCTGATCTCAGCCTCTTGAGTAGGATTATAGGCATGAGCCACTGGCACCTGGCCTTGCTTTGATTTTTGAGCTATAAAACAATTTCAATTTTCTGAAAAGAAATAATAAATCTAGGACAAAGTAGGAAGTCAAATTTTAGTTCAATAACTAAACTGAAATTAATTCTGACAAGAACAAATTTAAAATGTTACCTTCAGTTCAACCTGCTTACATAAGAGTGCCAAGTTAACAGAAATATAATATTCCCCTAACAACTCTGTTAAGAGTAGTCTGGCTATAAACATGAGTTATTCTTAATTCTTCATTCCTTATACTAGAAGAGCACCAAACACTGCAACAAGGAAACACTCCAATAAACAGGTTTCCACAGTATAGACCTTAGCTGCAGAGCAGGACATGGCTTTTTCCTCCTTCATGAGGTCTACCAGAGAAGAAAGCAAGCATGAATTCACAGCCTTAGACCTATGACAATACTGTGACATAGGAAAATAAGAAAAAAAAATCTACAAGTGTTTACCAATAAAAATTTTGACATGATACGTTATGAACTTTAAAGAATCAACTTGCAAAACAATAAAATCATCTTTCAAAGCTCTGTAGCAGTAGGGACTTTCCACAAGGAAAAGTCGGTAAGTTTCTGCTCACTGCAGCTTCAGAAAGCTGTAACGGAACATAATCACATGCAAGAAAAATGCCAATTAGCTCAAGGCTGCAGCTCCATGCGCCTGGTCACAAATTAGGAGTTGACCTTGCTTACAGGCATAAAAATGCTAAGGAGAAAGCATGGCCAAAGTCTAAGGAAAGGAATAGAGCAAATGAAGAAACGAAGACCCACCAGATCTCAAAATACTAAGACACTTTTCTTAAAGCAAGAATTTCAGGACAAAACAAATACTGTGTCATCCCATAGTCCATAAACATACTGACAATAAATTCAAATAAGTCATAAAAAGTGTGACAGAACCTTCAATGTGTCCAAAAACAACAATTGTAAAGGAGGTGAAACCCAAGTACAACTTTTAATGCCAAGGACTGTGGAAACAGATCATAGAATGAACAAAAAACACCATTTAACTCCTAAGAAAATAACTAATTCAAAGATAATCAATGAATGCTACAAATGTTAGGTGAAAAACTGGAAGGCACAGTGATAAAATATCACTTGAAAAGGGAAAATGTGAATGAAGAGATCCAGTGTTACTATTCTCATGCTTCTGGGGTCTGGAATGCAGTCCGTGGCTGGCTCCTTTGCTCCTTCTGAATGCCTATCACTGCTCCTACTCCCATAAATGGTCCTCATGGACTCTGTCTATGGACCACTCACCACCAGCTCCCTGGACACACTCAAAACCCTTCTATCCTGAAAAGCAGGCACCTATCAGGATGCCCAAAGACCCTTTGAACTCAACAGATGGAGAATGAAACTCACGTCCTGTGTCAATACATGACCCTTTCCTTAAATATCCAGCATCATCTTCCTCTCTTTCCTCCCCCTGTAATCTCCAGTTAATTCAATTTCTCTGCCAAGATTTTACTTCTGAATGGACTTGTCCCTCATTGACTCTTAACAGTGGTTCTAGCCCTATCCACTCCAACCCTGCTCTACACCACTGCCTGCTGGAGGACTTTTCTAAAATGTATGTTCACATCATACCTGTAGCAAACACCGAAGGTAGACCACAGGAACTTGCAGTCATGTTCACTGTGCCACACGCCCCCTTTATAATGCTAACTCACAATTTAAATTTTTACAACTGCTATTTCCACTGTTATGGTGAAGCCTGGACAGAGATTTCCACTCACATTTAAAATCAAGCACTTAGCTCAGTGGCCTACACCAATGGGAGTGGCCTTTTCTTGAGGATTTTTCATGTTTCCTATTTCACATGGTTTCAGAATCCTAGAATTTGTGCAGAACTCTCTAGTAAGTTGTTTGAAAAATTGTTAATGGAATATGTTAAAGAGGTATCCAGATAAACTTAAGCTTTCCAGTGAAATGGCATGATAGCTTTTAAGTTTATACTAAAAGATGTGTATCATTGATACATGCTTATTGCAATTTAAGGTCACACCTACAGCATACAAGGTCTGTGGAAAATGTGATTATTTTTAATTGCATCTAAGAAATAGTGTGCTGTTTTTCTATTTAAGTCAATTATGACATGCAATTTATACAACAGGGTAGCACAACATAATTGTATTAAGGGAGATTATGGCTAAACATCAGAGGACCTGTCTTTTTTGCACTGTACCTAATAAATTCTGCAATTTTCTACTTGTACAATCAACCTTGAGGAGTTAGTGGACAAGAAAAATAAAACTGACA